TTTGCCAAGTGGATGGTTCGCGGATTGCTAATCTGCAGCGACACTTGGATCGATGGGCCGAACATTTTCCTTTTCATTTCATTTGGCCCTAACCGTCCACCGGTATGCCCTGCGAAAGCAGCTGCTCTACCTGAGTCGTCACTTTATCCACCCGGCAAAGTGGAAGTTTGATTTGCGATTCGATACTTGAAACGATTCAAGGCTGCCGGATCAGATGGACTTCCTATGAAGCTATTCAAGTAAGGAGTGCAGTTATCATCAGCCAAGTAACTTCATTATTCTCCGAAATCTGACATGAAGGAAACTTGCCTTCTTCCTGGGACGAATCAGTTGTTGTCACGATGTTTGAAGTAGGTGTTTGGACTTCACGCATCAGTCACCGGGGGATCGGTCTCATTTCGACTGCCTCGAAGCTGTTGACATCCACTTTACTACTGAGACCATCCCCGATTCGTGAATTTCACTTCCGAGAAGACTAAGCTGGCTTCCATCCTGGCCATGGGTGTGTGGATCTTACGCTCCTCCAAATGCTCGAACACCGCTACCACTACCAAAGTCCTACCATCGTTGCATTCCTATACAACCGCGCTGCACTCGACTCGGTTGTTCGACCTGCGCCATGGCGTTGCTTACTAAGGAACAGAGACCCCGGAAAGGTATACTGCCACGTCTCCAGCAGAGTGAGGGTCTGCAGCAAGGTTTTTTGTCCTACGCTGTCAATCCCGGTGTACGACAGGGCTGCCCTATGTTCCCGTTCCTTTTCACTTTTGCGATTGAAGGTGTCTCGTCGAGAGCACTAGAAGTTTACCAATATGTTGGTCTGCAGCTACCACCTATCAGGCGAGCGGCTGACTTAGATTATGCTGATGACATCGCCTTACTTGGTGACGACTCGCATAGTATGCTAATCAATCTGGACCGTTTGGCGATTGAGTTATCTAAGTACGAAAGGTGCTTCGCGCCTTCGAAGTTTAAAGTGCTGCTCCATGCTTGACACTCGCCCGTTCCCGTGCTCGCTTAAAGGTTCATTGCCTGAACAAGTGGGTAGCTTTGTCTACCTGCGCAGCTGTGTGTCTGCAAGTGGTACCATTGGAAAGAAAGTTTCTCTTCGCTTTGCCCAAGGTCGATCGGCATTTGTCAAACTGCAGCACCTGTGGCGTTGTCGGGATATCTCCATCTTGTTAAAGGGTCGTGTTTACAATGGCACCATCCAAGCGTTGCTATATGCAGTGAGTCGTGGCCAGTTCATAGGGATGAAATGCGCCGCCTCTCGGCCTTCGATAATGAATGCTTGCGGAGGAGTGCTCGTGTGTGATGGTAACAAAGTATCTGCAACGGTGAAGTCAGACGTCGTGTGCTTAGGGAATGTGAGTATTTCCTTCAACAAGCTGGTTTTGTTGCGCCAGTTGAGATGGCTCGATCGCGTCCTACGTATGGCTCCTTCACATTCGCTCCCATCGCGTCCTTTTCCGTCGTGCGGGGCTCTGCTTGTAGGGACCATGCGGCAGTCGGTCGTCCGCCTGATGATAGGATATGAAATCGCTGACTTGATGTGGTTGGATCCACGTGTTTGCCTGGTTGGGGCCTAAGGGCGAAGAGGGCTGTTGGCTCGAAACAATTCAGGGTATTGCGTGGGACCGAAATCAATGGGAAATATGTGTACATACCTGTTTAGTTTCAAATACTTACTACTTCACAGTTAAAAAATACGAAAAGCGAAAGGCTAGCATATGTTTGATAACAACAAATGTTCTGTATTTCCTGCGGCACAATGGCTGCAGTGTATTTCTCGCCCTGATATAGCTACTTGAACGCACCCATGGAGTGGTCCCGCTCATCTGCTCGACTATGTGATCGTACGCCAATGTGACATGCGTGAAGCATACATGACACTTGCGCCACGTGAACCTGAGTGTGGCACTGGTCATAAGTTGGTGCCGACCAAACTGTACATATATTTTCGTAAATCTGTGCATTGCACTCCTGCCGTGAACCGGCGCACATTTAACCTTCTAAGGTATTCTCTGACTACTTGAAGGCGGTGTATGGACCCACGTTGCTGTCGCTGAGGACGCTGTTGGATGCTAATTCAGGGGCTGCCTACATACAGACTGCAAACTGTTGTAAACGCTCTTTGTCGTAACGTTGACCTGTCTTCACTTACTGTCTAGTGCCGCGTCCAATCCATCCAGGGAAAATCAGTTTAGATACAGCTTGCCTGACCAGAGCGGATTTATTAGAATCATTTATAGCTATATTTATAGATCAAACATACGCGCTCATACTGACATTTTGGCTATAGACTTGCTCCGACTTGGTACTTGACGCTGTAACGATTTTCTCCCATGTTGCGGCTCAGCTGTCTTGGTCAGGCTCATACAACGCCCACGCGTATGACTGGATTTCCGTTCGAGCAACAACGTGAGCGCAACTTCACTGAGTTAGCCGACTTGTTCACAGTCCCTTGCCTTGCGCCGTGAAAGTGCATCCCAGCATAAGGCTGTTTTGTCTCTCAACGCAAACATATTGCAGATCTGCCGAAAGCACTTCGATTGTCTCTTAAACATCCGTTCAGAATTTGCTGCAACGACAACAGATGATGTGTTGGCAACCTGGTCGCACGAATCCTGCTCAACCGCATCGTCACCCAGGTCGTTGAGCCAAATGTGGCGGAAGAGCAATGAAGATTCCGTTTGGGTCGCAGCACCACAGATATGATGACCGCGGCTCTTCAGCTGCAGAAGAAAACCGAGAGCGATGCCAGCCGTTGTATTCGCTATTTGTAGATTCCACCAAGGCTTTCGACACATTGAACTATGAGGCACTATGATTGATGTTGGGTAAGTTTGGTTGTAAGTTTATTTGGATGTCTACACTGTGGCATGCGGGCGAGCGTGTAGTTTAGTGGACAAACCTCGAATGACTTTGCATTTGTCTCTGGTGTGAAACAAGGCTGCGTCTTAGCCGCTACTCTCTTTAATATTTACCCTAAATCAATGATTTCTTGTGCATTTAATACTTGTGAGTATGATATCCGTATATTCGGTTTATTGCGTCTGGCTGTTAACCTAAATTCCACCCCGATCAGCTTAACGCACTTCTTGGTTAGACTTTTTGTGTAGGTTCGTCGCAGTTAGACACAGACAGACAGCCACCACACATCCAGGAAAGCGCTAGACGGCCGTTTCGTCCTATTGGGACTCGTTAGTAGCGTGCACCCGCCGAATCCTGCCGGATTAGAAAACCCACGAGCTAACTCTTGTATTCAACTTCGATATGTTGGCGTTGCTGTTTTTATTATCCAGACGACGTGAATCGTGGCAACCAGATTCACTGCACTTCAGTGCCCGAAACATAGTTGCTCAATCGAACTGAACTGAGCTAATATGGACGCGTCAAGTAACCTTGTATCGTTAGCCCCAATGGACAATAATACTGGAGGCAGGGAGAAAAGCAATGGACGTAGGATAAGTGTGAGAGAGAGGTAGCATGTAAGGAAACATAGGAAAGATGCGGAAAATCGATACTCGACTGTTATTCAGGTCAGACAGAGATGAGAGTAGTCATCGAAATCGTCCAAACAGATCGAACCAAACAGTTCAGACTGGTGATACGGTCTGATCCGAAAAACGGATTCCTCTGGATCTTGGCGCAATAAACATATTTCATTGACTAAGTGACTAATGAACGCGATAGGGGTTAAAAAGAGTTCCTCAATGCAGTTAGACAATATCCAGCTAGTGTTTTAGACTAGCTTAGTACCAAATCGTTGAAGAATAATGTAGTCCGAACAGAGTAGAAGCTGTATCAAGCTTGTAGCTAGGACAACAAGTTAATGACCGTAGCCTGAAAAGGTATTTGAGAGTAGTCACTAGTATCGGGACCTGGTCTCTAGACTGTCCGTGTGTGAACAAGTAGCTTGCATCGCCACATCCACTGAATTGCAATGATGTAGTCCACGGAGTTCAGAGGAAATAGTCCGAATACGCGTTTAGAAGATTTGCACAAGAATCCGCTCTTGTGTACGGATTCCAAGACCTGCGTCGAAGGAATCCACAAGCAGATTTGCGACTGTTGCCTTGCATATATTCGCACCGATCGTCATCAAGCGTTATGCCCCTTTTCGTCCTAAGCACAAAGCGTTATCCTCACGAATGGGCATGATCCTGCCCTTCCGGTGGGCACCATCTTTTGAACCGACTCCGGTTTTATGCATAACTTCAATTAGTTGGAAGGAACTGATGGTAATGCATCAGGTGTATGCTACTGCCCCCATTGTGCATTCCCGACCATCCTCCGGCCGGGGAAACTTGCATAACGGGGCACACCGAGTGCACAGAACCGATGCCGCGATACGTAGACGACGAACGATAGGAAAGCAGGATCCCACCGGTAGTTGCAACCTATTCTGATAGTGCGGAAAAGACGGTAACACAACAAGCGAACACAAGAATCTCAGAAAGTAGAATTAGTGCAGGGATGAGGAACATACATATCAGTAAGCGACTACTAACTCAGTGAAGACGTTCAAGTCCGGTTGTATGCCGATGGCCTCAATACAAGTTGAAACCAATCCAGTTTGAAGCCCAATGGCCAAGAGACAATCAAAAGGAGTGATTCTGTTTTGGAGCCAGCCAATGACAGCAATCCGGACCTTGAGCCAGCCAATGAGGGCGCGTTAGCGGCCTCTGGTAGTTCATGTTAGCATGGAACTTTCCTTTAAGACATTTCTGTCGAACGATGTCAATAGTGATTATGACTGTTAATAACACTGTATTTTCCGGAATTAAGTGGGAGGTTTCGTCAAGTCCTTTGTCTTTTGATTTGGAATGTGGTTGATCTGGGATTCGAAACACCTGTATCGGATATCCGTGCTGTCGGCGGAAGTATGACAACGAGAAGACAAAAATACAGGCGAAGATGGCACATTACAAGTACTCCACAAACAACATAATTCTTTTGAAGTATGCGCAGTACATACCGCAGATCAGCGGCTGGAGCTAGGGATAGGAGTTGTAATACGTAGGAATCTCTTTAACACGAGTGCAGGTAGACGTGTACAAACATACCGATAACTTACTCAATTGGTATGTTCGTGACAGTTCACATATATGGTGCCATGTGTGATAGAAGGGAGAATGTCTGGAGGGAACCGACCGGACAAATGGCCCTGGGACAGTAAGTGGGGAAATATACACAGATAAAAGCATGAGAAGCTACTCTGACAAGAATGAAATCCGAATAGTTTACACTATTGATGGCATGTGAATCCGGATACGAAAGCGACACAACCAATTAACTTCTGCAAGATGTAAGTGTGACAGCAAACCCCCGGCTGGACAAACCAGAAGTTCGCTAAAGCGGTTGTATTGCTGGTGAAAAAGTTACCTGTTTAACCCGCAGCAAGTCGGGAAACCAGGACACAAACAGCGCCACTGATTTTCGGCTTAATGTAGTGGCAGTGAGAATCCAGATCAAGTGACAGGTTTGGATTGAGGTCAATGTGCGGAATGATTGGCAAGTTCTCAGGTGCACTAAAGGGATGAGTAGGTTTTACAACTCGTAAAAATGTGTATGTGGGCAACGGAACATTATTATAGGCACCGGAAGAGTATGTTCGAACCCTCCGCGTACCTCATCATCAATACACGTTAGCTGAGGGTGAGAAACACACCACCAACCAACCCACTCACACCACCACCAGTCACACGTGGGCTAAGGATACTGCGAGGGTCACCCGGTCCTCTACGAAGGCTCGAACCTGCACCCTGGGATTACACTGGAGTTGACTCGGAAGTTATGAGAAGTGGGACGAGTTCCTAATGAAAAGAAGAACTAAGAGAAGCACGACGCCATGCTGTAACATCAAGGTAAATAAAATGCAGATGTAAGGAGTACGCGGCATTAGTGATACTTCTCGAGGGATATTTGGATGGTGCTGACAGTACAAGACGACTGTTGCTGACAAACTTGTACGTGACGCGAAATCGACAGGCACCGGATCCACTGTGGGACTCTGTTATACATTGCAAGGCAATTTGGAGCGGGCAGTACCTCCACTTTTCCAGCTTTGCTCCGGTCGCATACAAACGTGGCCTAGTGAAAACGCTCTTCTACAGAGCCAGACGGATATGCAGACCCGAAATGTTGCAAGCTGAAGAAGAATTTTTGTTCAAAACCTTGGTGTCAAATGAGTGTCCTGAGAAATTCATTCAGATCCACAGCAGTCCTCCCAAGGAGAAAATACCGGTGTTAACAGCAGAGAAAAAGAATGTTTATTTGTTCTTGCCGTTCAAAGGAGACCATGTATCAAATGATATCGGACATAAACTCCGGTCAGCCCTTACGTGCACCTACGCGACCGCCTAGTTGCGACTCATACATACAACGCGAAGCCTTGTTCTTCATGACCGTCAAAGCAACTCATCAGTCAGTTCGGCCTCTCACGCCGTTTATCAGTTCACCTGCGGTTACGGTGACAGTGGCATAGGCAGGACTGACCGTCAATTAGCTCAGAGGGTAGTTGAACATGTGCCGAGGTGGTTGGAGCAACTGATGACGCAACAAAACGGAGTGGATCCGAGGATGAACCGGAGTCCAGCATCATCTATCACCAAACATGTCTTGGCAACTCGACATCAGGTGAACCCGGAGACTGCGTTCAAGATGTTAGTACGCAACAACAATCCGATAATCTTGACAATTAGTGAGGCTTTGCTAATTAGGGATTAGCAACCTGTGTTGTGTGAACAGAAACTATCGAGACAAGCAATTAGGTTACCGTGGTCTTGATGTTGACATTTTGATTAGTGTGTCAATTTTTCCCCCTGTATATAACTGTCTAGGAATCCCGCTTGTTTTGTGTTTGCGACTGATGAGAACAATCGAAATGTTGACATATCGCAACTTATGTCTTCTCACTGCTCTGACGAAATGACTGAAGGGGACCCACTGTTTTACTCTGTTGTACGTTGGTGATGTCACGAAAACACTGCAGCTCTCAACACCGAGCTCGAGCAAGTCGATTTCCTAGTGCTCACCGGATCCGCGTGAAGGCACCGCATATGGTCAGCGTACAAAAAAGAGCAGCTTAAAGATACATCGATCCACCGAGGTTTAGTAAAGTGGCCCGTGGTCACTTGGAGAAGACATAAGGTAAATAGCAAACAAAGCGCTCACTACTCTATTCCATGAAGCCAAAGGAAGAGCAGTTGCGCTTATGTTCATATGGACCTTATACTTCGTCGATGTGCAACTGACCATATCAATTGGATTGTCAGTCATCACCCATAACAAACGCTCGTCACTGACGAAGCTGTGGAAACCTACGCGGTAAAGCACGAGCAACATTTGTCTATGTGTTTGTTGATTGAATCAGATCGTTGATGATATCGTATCACAACATGGCAGACATTATTTATCATCGAAACAAGGGTGGTGGGCTATTTTAGCGACGACATTACAACCAGCATCGCGATTACAGACTAAGGTGGAGGTGCTGATAGTGGCAGACATCTTTTTCGTGGTAGGATTATGGTAAAATGGTCGGTCTATTATGACACACAAGCTGGACCCTAACCGTCACTACCTTGTGCGACGCTGGTGTAAAGCGGCTGGCTGAACAAGCAGAAGGTAGTCTGGACAGCGAGCGAAGATCAAATAAAATGGTCATTTAGGCTATAAAAGGTTAAACCGTTGTGCATTATTGTTCAGTTAGGGGGAGTCATTCTTATTCTCTGCTTTGGGCCGTCAGTACAGTTCGATCAGTCAAGGTTACTCGCCTCTGCTAAGATTAAGTCACTCGCTATTTGTTTAGAACGATGCGCCGTGCTCGCGCTAAGCCGAACCAATCCAAAGCTGCCCATCCAACTAATGCAAGTATCATCAACCCACCGACTTATTGACAAACGCGGACCATCATCATCAACAGCAATACATCAGCCGTTTAAACTGATGCTTCGATGCCACACAACCATAACGATCTACGTTACGAAAAATAATAAGAGGGAGAGAAGAGGGACTTACCTGAAGAACTTAATGCCCTAAGCAAACATTCAGGGTCAACGCGCCCACACCGTGTCAACAAGATACCATCAAAAACAGTTGGCTATCGTGCAAAGGTGACATCGGTGAGACAGCTTCCTTGCGGCTTTCACTGCCCCGCGTCATAATCAGCCATTACCCCACAGATAACTCAGCACCAAATACACTTTAAACGGGCAATTCGACTACGAGACGACAGCAGACATGCCACTGATGTCTACTACGGGCCAAGTTCTGTAACGTCTCAAGCCAAGCACAAGGCGGGTCACGTGGACCACAGCTCGGAAGGCTAGACGGACCAACGGCACCGAGTTTGGCCGTCAGTGACTTCATTTCCCGCAACGAAGTTAACTTTTGTCCAACTCGAGCATTGCGCCACCCTACATCTGGCAGACTGAACAACGCCCTCCTAGGTAAGCAGTGACCAGGCGTACGTAGCACGTGCCCAAGCAAACGCAACTTATTCAATGTTATCTGTTGTTCCAAGGAACTAGCCTGGTTATCACTACCTAGTACTCGCTTACGCGCCTAATGGTTGCGGACACCCTGGTGCCATCCGACAGTAGCAACGCTTCGCAGACAACGATGATCAAAGACTTGAAGGCGTCTCATACCCTCAGACCAAAGGGGGCAAGTCTCACTCCCATAAAGTAGCACGTCCCACACTGTGGCATTGTAAACACGGCCTTTCAGACGGATGGAAACCCCTTGCTGTCGCAGAGTCAAGAAAGCAGTTCTAGCTTTTGCAGTACGTGAACTGACTTCAGCTGCAATGTGCCTATCGTTGCTGATGCAGCTGCAAAGGTAAGTGAATCGATCAAGCAACTCGAGTTCCTCGTTATCAAGGGTCAAAGAGCCACCAGATGGCTGGTGGTTCTACAGCAACATTTCGGACTTTTAAGGTGCGAATCACATGCCAAATAATGGGGCCACTCTAAAGAGACTATTCAGGGTTGGTTGGGCAGCCCCAACATCGGTAAACAGCAAGACGATATTGTCCACATACTCAAGATCAATTAGCGTCTAACCAGGCAGCAACTCAACGCCCGCATCCTGAGACTCCGCAAGAGAACACTGCATGATGGAGTCCACGACGGTTTAACAAAAATGAGGAGATTGGGCAACGCTTACGAACGCCACTTGTTGTCGGAAAAATATCCGACAAGTCACTGTAGAGCCTGACGCGGCCTGTCGTGTTCGAGTATAGAGCACGTGAAAGTTCGTTTCATGGGAACACCTTTCCGCGAAAGTTTTCCGAACAGAATAAAGCAATCGACTGTTTTGAACGCACTATTGAAGTCGAAGAACACTGCCATTGTCGGTCTGCGGTATGCGTGGTGCTGCACTAGCACCTGCCGCAGAGTGAAAATATGGTCTATACAGCCCCGTGCTGAGCGGAAACCTGCCTACTCTTCCCTAATCCGGGATTCCCATACCCCAGTGAGGCGACGAAAGATAATTGAGGCCAGTAATTTCGTCACAACTGAAGTTAGGCTAATAACCCTGTAGTTAGCAATCGGTGCGACTGTACATCTTGTATATGGCCATTATAACCCATTCGCTCTAGTTAGCCGAGACGGTCTTTTCCTTCCAGACATGTTCGAACTAGCATGTCAGTGCTTTTCAGGGGACCTCACGTCCATCCTTAAATTGTGCAGGTGGGAGGAAATCCGGGCCAGCAGAACGAAAACGATTGAGGGCTGTGATCGCGATTCGGACCGCAGCTTCAGATGGAGCCTCTAAACTAACCGTCCATGGCTCGTCCTGCATCAACTGAGTGGGAAGAGGTCCGGGAACAGGGGGCCAGCAGAACTGACCTTGAAAGTGTTCCGCCCAACAAGCCATACGGCGCTCCTTATTGTAAATCAGTGCACCCGCACTGTCTCCGACTGTCTCACTAATGCCTGGTTTTCTGGGACAAGTGGTGCGGATCAGCTGGAAGAGCTTGCGATAATTGCCTACTGCTCATGCCTCCTACATTTCTGGAGCCCGACTGGTCCAGCAGGCTTCCTGGTCAGTATGCAGGCTCTGCTTTAGTTCGCGCCTAATTGTCCGTCCGGTCACCTGGTGCTCAAGAATAGCAGGGAGATTTCTACTGGATTCCAACAAGTCCAATGGCTTCTCGGA